GAGACCTGGACTCTACGAAAGCAGGATGAGCATACTGTCAGCGTTATTCAACGCGCTTTGGAAAGGACGATGCTCGGAATTTCCCTATACACGCAAGTGCAGAAGGGAATCCGGAGTTCCGAGCTCCGTCACCGAACGAAGATCAGGGATGCCGTTGATTACGCCAAGAATTCGAAGATCAGGTGGGCCGGACACGTTATGCGATATAGTGATGACCGTTGGACCAGGGCGGTTACTGACTGGATCCCTCGGGACATCAAACGAACACCAGGAAGGCCGCCGACGAGATGGTCAGACTTCTTCACGAAAGCTCTGAACGAAAGGAATGTTGAACCTCGTGTCCCTGAAGCGAGAACGGTTCACTGGACCACTTTGGCTCGTGACAGGGACGAATGGAGACGTTACTGGCGCCCGCTCGAGGATTTCGATGATCAACGGGACGACAGGTGATACAGGTGAATAGTTTTTCGTGAAATTGTCATTCATCATTTCTATGAGGCGTTCAACGTAATTTTCCGATTTATCGCATTAATGTTTGGCTGTTTGCCACTGAAGATGTTGCTTCTTACTTCTTTATTGTAGTCTATTTCTGGCACTCTTTGATGTTCCGTGATAAGCTCGAACTTTAAACTTTTAAACATTTCACCAACTACTCACTGTAGTTAATTGGAAGGCGATTTCGGCTTGTTTCTGTTCTTGTTTTCCATCAATGTAAGAACTACTACCAAGTTAATAGAAGTATGCTTGTAAATTACATCCTTTTTACCACAGATAGTATGATCGTGGTGATCCGTGCTAGGTGACGTCGCTGTCCTATCAACAGTGTAGTTAGTATTTTCTCGATGCAAGCTCGAAGCGATGCTCAACCCTATTGATGTCTGCATAAACGTTGAACCACCGCTTTGGAAGCACCGCTTCCTTCGACTTCATCGAACTATTATCCACCTTCTCTTTCACTTTTCGTCACAATCTGAGTAATCCAAAATTATCGGGAACTATGGGGTACTGTGCCTTTATAAGGTGTGCACCCTGAATTAAATAGTTACTACCAGCAGTAACCGTACTCATGGCAGCTCACGGCCATTCGGTAACTCAAAACATTTTGCAATACACTTCAAGATATGTTTTATGACATAAGTGCCTTGCCATTACTGTACTACAAGATAGGTGCCCAGAAGAAGCCACATTGGCACCTCAGAGATCGGGGGAGGGGGGAAATACTTTCCAAGGAAGCCAAGCTTTTCATTTAAGGATGACGACTGTACGATAGAGGGCCTCTTTTAAAAACGTTGGCCGTGAGCATCGGTGACAAGAGCGGATCCTCCTGTAGGCGAAGGGTTTTTTTGATTAAGATTTCTACGACTAAAAAGGGGATGAAGGCATGGTGCACGTCCAGTGATGGTACGACCCAGGTGTGGTATGTCTCTTATCTTTCATCGTTACGCTTCTTCGACACATCATGAGACCTTGCAAAAAAAAGAAAGCGAACACTTCTTCCAGTATAGTCTGCCACAATGACGTCTACGTCGGCACGAAGGTGAGAGTCACGTCATCGATACACCTAGGGGGTCTCTACTCTTGTTTCCCATACTTGAAGTCGTCTTCATCGTTTTATTCATGGCAGGGTACCGTCCCATGACTTTGCTGATCATATCTTGAGAATTCACTGGCTCAACACAGAGCCGAGATGAACAAAATAGTGATTGCAGGTGTACGGCGAACCACACGCTGCTGAACTGAGTGCATAGCGTGAGTCCTTTGCGAATGAATTAGGATCGTAAAGGCGTTTTTGCGTTCGTTTTGCTGTGCCAAACTCGAACCCAAACAGAAATTCGTCTCTCGGCGGTCCAGTTTCGTGACGATTTTCAATATCCAATGTGTATCGGTTTCTAAAGCTCAGACGGACCCCACGACACTTCTCGTCACTGTTCATTATTCACCCAAATACTATGTTTCATTTTCTTCAATGGACTTCGCTGTCATAAAGTTGAGCTATTGACTAGTGCGCTCTGATGCGTGGGAATGTCATACTGCAAGTAGGCCACTATTGGCAATTTATTAGCTCGTATATTGCTCTGTGTAAAGTTTCTAGTTGAGTTACTTCCTTCACTTACTAGCTCTTTACAGCTTCTTTGAGAATCGTGAAGGAGCTACCATATAGTGAAGGCAGCGCTAATACTATTTTCAAGAAGAAAGCTGGCGATTAATTTCTGCGTTTCTTTTGTGTTCAAATTTTAATTCTCAATCTTCACCTGGGCTTCTCGGATTTCTATTGTGCAAAGTCTTTCGTTGTCCTAATTTGGAAGCATGGACCACTCGAAAACTCCCATTGAATCAGTTCCTGTTGAGGGTGCTCATTCTTCTGCTTTCGGGCTTATTTGATCGAGGGTCTCCTCTGAATGTTTGTGAGAACAAGTAACAACTACGATACACTGACGAATTTCAACCGCAAAAGGAGCACTGTCGACAACGTTCTCCTTTTCCTGAGTTGGACACGTGGTTACCTTCTGATCAATTCTGTCTTCCTGGCTGGCGGGAGGTTCTGAAAAATCCAGGAATGACTCTAGATTTTGATGTTTCCATCGCTGCGTACTATTTTTCTTGAGTTCTAGCAGTATTTCGGTAATGCGAGATAAAGCTCGGTTACTTCTCTTAATTAGAGGAAGCTCGACTTCTTCGCCTATGTAGAGCTTTACTCGTTGTCCTGAGTACTCTCAAAAATTTTCTATGTATTTTCTTTCTTAAGCCGCAATACGGTAGTCCTTGAGTAGTTTATAACCACTTCCCTCACTCTTTCAATGCTATCGCACGGCTTCTCTTTCGATTCTCAATCGATCACTTCTCAGGAACTTCCCAAAGTCAAAATTTGTTCCCTGCGACCCTATCATCTCTCTGAGATCATGTTTTGACATTCCGGGAGCGATTTTTTTCAAGTAGCACGTATACTCTCCCCGTAACAAGTCGCACGCTCACCGTACCGCGTGCTAGTACGACGTCGTGACGCGACAACGTGGATTTTTCCTCCGTACACAGCTGCTGCGGCGACATCGCTTCAACCGGTCTCACGCTCATTGTTTCAAGGTATCTTAGTGTCTCACTCGCTCACTTCGCATAGATTTCGGTCATTTTTCCCGGCGCCGAACGAGTTGACCCACTTAATTTGCGCACTTAGACCTCGTACGAGAATGCAACAAAAAAAGCCGGCCAACTTGCCGACGATATCAAGACGAGCACTTGCGTACAATGATGGTATCTCACCCGGGAGCGCGCACGTGATTTGAAGCCGGAATATCCATCCCTGTAGCATGGACTGCAAGCTAACAATGGACTGACTCGCCCTTCTATCGTCTCCATATCACCACGGGGAGGTGTTCCGAATTGGGAGAAGATGTTCCTCAGATCTCTAGTCATTCGTCAGTAGTTGATCGATTTGTCGATGATCAGGTCTTCGTCAATCGAACACATTTCGGATTATGGACGATTAATGAGACATCTCCCAGAGTTGAAATGAGCCTGGCGACGAGTCAACTCACCGTCGATGTTGCCTTGAATTAATGTCACAATCTCAGGCAGACATCCGTGAAAGTCATCGGTAAAGCCTATTCAATTCTCATTCGATGCTACCATCCCCGCCTGTGGTTGGTACTCTCCTACTCTCTGAGGAGTGATACGGTATGCATAAAATTAAGCCTAAACTCTGCTCTAATTAGGTTCTGATGGTCCTCGAGAGCATCTGGAGCCTCGAGAACACTTGGTTCACATGAAATGTGAACAATACACGAGACTATTCCGAGCACTGTGTAAATAACTTTAATCGGTGGAAAAAATATAAGATCCCCTGCAGAGCGGTCACAGTTTAGTCCATTTTAAGCCGAGAACAGTTCTGAACAAAGATTCTGAATACTGTAGCTTCCTGTCGTGTAATACAATTTTTCACTCGTGGATCTAGTGGTCTAATTACAAGAGGTAATGGCAGCCAAAGCTCAGAGACGTGGGAAACTGCGAATCAAGCAGCTCAGCGCGTTTCTCCACTTCCTCCACGCATTCCACCTGGTGAGAAGTAAAAGTCTGTAGATTTTGTTGTCATCTGATTTCGGCAAGGGGCCAATGTTGAGATAAGATCAGCTTTTGTATTTCCATAGGGTCGATTCTCACTCCAAGCGACTGAATTTTCCATTCATTCGCGATAGTACCTGCAGCTGAGTAGTACCGAAGCGATTGGTCTCCACTACACATTGGAAAGGTAGCATACGTTGACTGATAGCTCGATGGACCTGATTCAAGCCAATGCCCGGTTTAGATGAAAGGATCAACGTCCGTCACCTCCCTTCTTGCACTTGACGATTGAAAATTTTGAACGCATCGAAGATTTTTGGAAATGCTCCTTTCGCCGGCGGTTTCTGAACTTCCTCAACGTGATCATGTAGACAGGGAGTTTTCAATCATCTTCAGTCCTTTCCTTCTCGGAATGATGCCAAGAAGGAACAATTTGGACAACTTTTCAAGTGAGACTTGGTGCCTGTGCGTTTTTGCCGGTCGCAGTCACCGTAAAAGTGGTCGTTAGTGAAGTACGTGGATCACTTAACCGGTAAGGAAGCTGTAACTGCGAAATCTTAGGTGAGAAATGATGTACCTTGGATTTTGTACCTGAACACAGCTTTTACTGGAAGCCAAAGGAACCTCCTTGATTGTTGAGTGAAGCAATTCCATTTGGTCTACATGGAGAGAGGTTCTTCAGTTCATCATTGCTATTTAGGACACAGAGGTCCTCCTAATATCCTAAATTGATTGCGGGAAGTTTGAGTTCCTACCAATGAATTGTGAGTTGCCCAAGTCGCAGCAATTCTTCCTGAAGAGCTGAGGCGCTCTAGGCAGGAGACTTTCCTAAGCGCTTCGGCTGTCACCTCAGCGTATCGTTCCATCTGTAGTTCCTTTCCGTTGGCTAACGCAAGTCACAGAAATCATGGCAGTTTTATCCGAGTGATGGGCAGCGAAATCGCCACCAGACAATTAGCGAACGATGTGTGGGCGCGGGCGCGCGACGTACGATGAGGGCGGCAGTGCGCGATCACTATTGGGGCGGTGCGCGACTTCCTCGACCAGCTCATCTCGCCCCACACGGTGATGAACTCTGGCGAAGCAGACGGTCCGGCATGCCCCGTGGCAATTCACCCATATGGGATGACATCGGCCGGAGCCTTAACAATGAACGGCATCGGCTCTGGTACCCTACAAATGGGACCGATTGCTACTACTACGACACTTGGCTCAGCTGTGAGCTTACCGACAGGGTTGGCATTGGGCAACATCGACATCACCAATTCATGGTGTCAATTTCCCAACTATCATGACATTCGACCGGTTGAGAATGGTAGCTACGAAACGGAGGTAGAAATGCTGCTGTCATCAACGTTCTCGTTTTTTCTGACTTTCTACGCCATCACTCACTCTCTCTCTATCTTTTCATTAGTTTAGATCGCCACTATTAACTATCAGGATATTTCGACGGCACAAAAGTATGAACCCCTCAAGTACGACTATGGTGATATTCGACCGAAACAGTATGAGGAGCAACGTCTCTATCACAAAGTATGTCTGTCTCGATAAACACTACTCGTGAAGTTTTACTGCCATTGTTTTACACAATGTTCACTATGCTTGGAATGTGCTTTTATTTCGTCGTTGAAGTCTTCTTTGTTGGCTTTTTCGTTAAAGCAGAAGCAAATGAGGTTTTTTAGTCACATAACTTCGTGTCTGTGAGCCCATCATGAGCTTGTCGTTACTCCATTTCTGCTACCATCTCTTTAAAAACTTTTTTTTCATTTTTTTCCAATAACGCGGTCGCTCTTTTTCTTTTTGCTAAGGTTTTAACTGCATGGATTTTTTCTTCGAACCAAATCAATCCTACCTATTTTTTCTTCTTTCGATTGCTATTCCTATTTCCACTATTGAATACATCCCAAAAACGGCGCAATCAGACTTTTCTGGAAGTTTCTCTACCTCTGCTCATTTCTCTTCACGACAGCTGTATTGGCCTTTTGTCATTTTTCCAATTTTATCATTAATAGCCTATAATGTAGTACAATATAGTCAATGGTAGTGTTGAATCGGGTCAGAAGTCGAGCTAGGTACTTTCCACCTCCTACCGGAATGAAACATTGACTAAACTCATCATGATATAGAACAATTAACAAAGTCAGTAGAACGATGTCCCTAGGCTCTTTTTTGCTCTTCCCTGAAGCTGAATTCTGAAGAATCCCATTGGGAAAAATGTATTACTCTCAGTTTTACTGTACACGAATGCTTCAGATTGAACATTGTGAACATTCGATAATTAATACAAAAGTTCATTGTTTTTTGGAGAAAAAATTAAGGACAACATTTTCGCTGTCCCATATTCATCGCGTGAATTTCTTCAACCTTTACAGGAACCAGATCGTCCAACAGTTAAGGAAGAGGAAGTGAAATTTGAGCACGAGGAACGTTGCGATACAGCTGGTCGTGATGGAGGAGCAGCTCCAGCTAAACGTGGTCGCCCTACGGAAAACCCCTGTTGGGGATATTTTATTCGACTGGATGATCAGAATGTTCGATGTCGTTTGTGCAACAAGGTAATTTCAGTTATCACTTGCAACTAACGTCGTCCGTGGTTTCCGAGGTTTTCTAATGTCTTCGCCCTGTTGTTGTCATACTGTAGGTGTCTGGGAAGAGAAACAAGAGGAGTGCGACGGCGAACGGGGCGCGCTCTCGCACCCTCCGATATCCAATCCGGAGCTCTCGGCTACGGCGTCGCTTAGATTTGCACGGTAGCGAAGGATGAACTGAAAGCCCTATCGATTGTACACCACACCTTACCCACACCTTTTTTTATCGACTCCTATGGAGTGGATATTTCGGGGAAGACCAGTTGAAAGACGCTAAAGTATGGGCTTAAGAAAATGCTGACGGAAAAATTGCGTCATTGTCTTGAGATAACCAGATTAGGGAAAGTTTGCTTCGTTTTTCGTTAATCGTGAGTCATAAACGGAATTTGATGAAGGTTTTGGCGCCGTTTCGAAGGCGACATTGTTGAAGATTAATCGCCTTGATGATGATAGCGACTCTATGACGCTTCCATCCATGTATTTGAACTGCTTACTAAGTGTAAGGGAAAAGCTGGTGGAATGGTGGAAGTTGAGGCCATGTTACCTAAGGAGGCAGTAGTAAGAAAGGCCAAGGGTTCGCTAGCACGAACTTAATGACTCTTGCGAGAATGCGGTACCCAGAAAGGTCAAGAAAAGCAAAAGGTAGCTAAGCCCCATTTTCCACTGACCGTAATGTCAAACAAAATGCTGCTGGCCTGACGTCCCAGAAATGCAATGGTATTCTGATTTATCATTGACATTAACTTCAGAGACGCCGATGATAAATCGGTGGACCTTCGATGGGAGTGCTTGTGACCAAGAGTGAGTACCCCAGATATGATGTGGGAACAGTAGAAAGTGTTTTATACTATGACCAACTTCAACTGAAGCGGGTTATGTTTCCACTTTTCTCTCTAAACTATGGAAGTGATTGATGCAGCACCTTCGACTGCACTAATTCATCATGAACTAGGGAGTGGCATTATCGTTTTTCCATTCCCTTATACTTTTTGGGAAGAGATGTGGCTAAAGGGAAAAAGGAGATGCCAGTTTACTTCCCTGTTCATAATAGCTGCCTGATTGCAGATGTTCTCTTGCCATGTAGCATGACTTGAATAGCCATTTTTTTTACCGTAGCCTACATTTACAGTAATCTTCTTCTTACATTTTCCTTAGTCCTGCTTTGATGAAAAGAAAAACCTCCCAACAACTTTCTCAACATGACCCTCTCTCTCGGTCAATTCCTTTTCCTTCTTTTAGTGGATGGTTTTCTGCTGTCCCACTATTTGCCATCGTTTTATCAGTTCAGCCGACTATTCCTCACTCGTTAAAATGGTCTTTCAGAGCCTTAAGTGGTAGTTTAGGTGAACTTACCAGCTCGCTCGATGATGACCGAGCGCGGTCGGTCGGTCGAGTTGATTTCGTTCATTAGGACATGACCTTCGGGTGTTATCTAAAACAGTCCATGTGACCTATAAAATGACATCGCCGCTGTCGCCATCACTTCATCGTCGCACTCATTTAAGAGATTTTTTTTGCGAAAAACTGAAAAAATGTGAAAGCGAAAGTAACTATGTGTTGTTCGTGTCACGGTATGCGTAGTAGTGCCACGAAGTGATCCTTGGTCCCTGAGCCCCATTCTAAGAGGTCCACAACTTAATGAAAGAGAAGGAAGGGATTCGATGGGATTTTCTGAAGTAGCTCTTTACATTCTAGCTTGGCAAGAATATATTTCTACTCTGTCAGTGGGGTAGTAACCTGGTGTAGTTAGCTCATCTCTGATCACCGAAGGGAGAAGTTTGCTCGTGTTGAGCTGCAGAGTTAGACTTCTGGGAATCGGATTCAAAGTCATTGTGGAGCTTTCGTAGCTCTCTAGCCTTTTCCAATAAATAGTGACTCCTCGAATAGATAAATCAGATACTGTAGATCTCTTGGTGAGTGAACAGTCAGTACAAATCATTATAAACTTTAGGGAGTTGCGGCTTACCATACATCCGCTTATAGCTTTGTAGAAAATGACCGACGGAGGCTCCTTCCGTAGGATCGCCATCATTCTCCAATCACACATGAAATCAGGGGAACCAAGAAAATAAATAAAGGCTTTTGTGCCTGTTCGTTCATTCTATTTGTTTTTATGATACAATCTTTCGAGAAACTGGGAATGACCATTGCTCCACTCGAGTGTAAAAGGGTTACGGAAACGATATCGTAGAATTTGTGATTTTGTGTAGTTTACAATCCTCTGATTCGACGCATTACACCTGAAAATGCTCACAGTTGACTATTTTAGTAATAAATGCGCACTGGTACGCTTAAGTATTAGGATGTTCACATTACGCCGGTTCCTCAGTGTTNAATCAGGGGAACCAAGAAAATAAATAAAGGCTTTTGTGCCTGTTCATTCTATTTGTTTTTATGATACAATCTTTCGAGAAACTGGGAATGACCATTGCTCCACTCGAGTGTAAAAGGGTTACGGAAACGATATCGTAGAATTTGTGATTTTGTGTAGTTTACAATCCTCTGATTCGACGCATTACACCTGAAAATGCTCATAGTTGACTATTTTAGTAATAAATGCGCACTGATACGCTTCAGTATTAGAATGTTCACATTACGCCGGTTCCTCAGTGTTATATCGCCATTACTCTACAGTATGAATTTTATGAAAGCACCTTCCCTACCGTGGAAATGGTGTGTTTTGAGGAGAATGGGATACGGATAAGCTAGCACTCGAAGTAAAGTTATATGGGAAATTTCTCTATCATTGTCATCTATAAATGTCCGAATTTCTCCACCCTCCCTTTTTCTGAAATTTTCTATCGCTTTAATATGATTGCATGCTCCGTGATTACTGTGGGCCTGTTGGATGGTAACGGGGGGAGGTGGAGACGTTTGTTTAGTTGAAGTGTTGAAAAGCTCAACTTATAACATAGCTCTGACCTTTAGTAATAACACTGGCAAAAAAGTGGTTTTTGATGGTAACGAGTTTTGTTGATTTGATGTATTTGTGCTTTCACGGAATGCATCATTTTTTACACCAAAAACTGTTATTGTATGAATTTGAGTGGAAAGAACTAACGAAATGATAGCAAAATTTTTCTCGTGTAGAGAGGTGCATCCCTCAGAATAAAACCGAACAAGCTGAGTTTAAAGGTAACCCATTGATGCCAGGACGTGGTGTCGCAGCTGAGCCATTGGCCGGGAAGGAGTACAAGGAGCCCCTCACTGCTCTAGCTTCACTCTTTCTGCATTATCGCGTATACGGAATATTTTGAGCTCCTGTTTGCCCTTCCATGTAGTGAGTAATGGCATACATTATTACGCCTAAGCTCCGGCGAACGAATCCCGTAACAATGTCAATCCAGGCTAACCAAGCCTTCTATCCCTTCAGGGTCCGTTAATTGGTACCAGCCTCAACTGTGAGAGTGAAAGCACTGACTTCTACATCAACTTATTATCGCAATCCATTGATAGCCCCTGAATTGAAGTTGGGTGCGCCAGTGCCTTCGTCCACATCATCAATCCGCTATATATACCTATGAAGCTCCCAATTTCAGGTTGTCAAGTCGGCTTGTGCTACGAATATGACAAAACATCTGGAGCGCCATCATCAACAAGACTATCAGCAACTTATTGTGCAAATCAAACAGTACAGGTAAGACCCCATTGGCTATTGTTTAAAGGATATTCTCGCAGTCTGCTGCTTGTAGACAACAAAAAGGGCCTGTCTCTAGTGGCGTTTCGTCGCCGGAAGCGCATCAACAGTCGTGTATTCTGTCCACGAATCACTATGTGAAAACGGAAAACTATGCTCAACAACTTTATTCTCAATTTGAAAGGGAAGATGCTTTGCGGAACTGTACCAGCTACGATCGGCATGTATGTGATCCTCCTCATTACTGCTATGTATTTGATGATGGTTTAGTCAATATTCGCTCAGTACGAGATGAGATCGAAGTATAGCGCTGCAAATCATATGTAAAGTTAAGCCGAATTTTTAAATCATATTTTTAGTCTTTCCGTTTAAGGATCCATCCCTTTCATGGCAGAGAAATCAATGGAATCAATGGCCAAACACCCACGACCCTACTAGCTCAAGTATTGATATGACAGGAGGTTTGTAATATTTCCGTTGTGAAAGTAAATAGATCCCAAGTGGTTCCTCAACATCTTCCTTACTTGGGATTACTAGTATTCGTTCTAAAAAAACACATCCATTCTCTGCTATCTGTGATGCTCATGTGATTTCCCCGATTCCCCCGATTTTTCGCTCATGGGATTCTGAGCATTGTGCCTCATTGGCTCCCTGGTCTCCCTGGATCATGAACGTTGGGTATAAACGTCCTATTGCGAAAACCAGGGGCTTGATTTCTCTGATAAATAGCGTTGTGTAATGTACGGATTCTCCTAAAAGCCTTCACCTTCATTGTCCTTTGACGGCAAGTTTTATGCCAAGCGTTGGACTTTCGAGCAAATCGTTGCAATGCTCACAGTTTCCGGAAGTAAGAGCTTCACGCCGAATTAGAGCTATATTTATTTATTTACTGGGCTATTGTTGGAACAATATATGGCTAGTTTGTAATAGCATCAAAATTACAAAAGAATAAAGGGTATATGTGCCAGTGAAACGAAATTTTCGTTTTGGTAACTCTTTAACTTTATTTTCAGTAATTCACGGGTGCCTAGCATCACCGCCATCTGGATGGACTACAGCCGCTCCAGGTACCTCTGGATCCTCGGAAAAGCCTTATATGAAGCGAAACAGGTGAGAAAGACGTTATCGATATCTAACTTCGCATCCGTGATATGAAACTATCCACTTAGTTTTTTTTTCATATCGAAACCACAAAAGTGAACATTGCCTCGTAGAGATGGAAAACGTGGAGATATCTTTGGGTCATCAACGTCTCCTTATTTTCCCTCTCGAATTAGGTCGATGCAAGAAAAACAGTAAGCGTGATTGATCAGCGATTATATTCTTGGAAATGAATTCGACAATGATGTGTGGGCGGTCTTTAAGTGGAGAATCAATCCAAAAAACCATTGAGTCGAATTGGAACACAGGGAGATAAGTTGTTTTTTTTCTGTACGCATACTTCATTATGTGTAATTAATTATCACCCGTCTCGAAGCAGTGCGTACGGTATCAAGTGGTGGAGAATTTNTTTCTCAAAAGTTGATAAAGATAAGCATAAACTGGGGACTAAAATTTTCCAGTTCGTACTATGTTCCCATCTTAAAAATGTCCCATAAGTCCTAGGGAAGGGTCTGAGGTAGTAGTATGAGAGATGATAGCACCGGCGAATTGGTCGAGTGAGGTGCTTTCATCAATGCATGTAGGGTCTCCATATATTCTTTTTTGTGAAATTTTGTCCCTTGATGAAAGGCAGACTCCAAAAGGAGCCTTTAGTCCGTACTCTTCATCTCCGATATTTCCTTCAATTTACAACGTCCCATATCTTGTTTACATTCCTTTTTCTCAAATCGTTATAGACACCTCTTTCTTCAAAGCTTTATGCCATTCGTTGATCACCTCCAGTCTCCTTGATCAGTAATCTCATCCGAATGGGCACACTTTATATGTATTTAGTAGTTGAACGTCATTATGGTGTTGTCGACAGAGGAAGCTGGGGTGATCAGAAGTCCATTGCTGAAGGCAGAATTAGAAGAATCTGACGAACGAAGATTTGCGAATTTCGATAGCTGTTCTATTGTGGAAAGCGGGCAGTCAAATCGCTTCGGGTTAGGGAGCTCACTGCACTTCAGGCTTCTTCTGACCACTACATATTTTTGTCCAAAATGATAAAAATGTTGCTGTTCAGCTTAAGATCATTGTGTGAAGGAATTATCATCCACAGGAAACAAGAGCAGTACGATCTGAACAAACAACTTTGAAATTTGATCAGAACTTAGTAATTGGGAATAATTCGGATGGGATTTCGGTAGGAAAGTCTCGAAACAGAGTACTAAATTATGGTGCTGACAGTGCTCAGATTTTGCCTGTTTGGGAATGGTTGCAGATCATTTTTCTTAGCTCCTGTTCATTCTCTACGTTATGATGTTCTGTCATGTGACCACTAAGCCAGAGTGGTGCAGTGGCAGGAGACACACACATTCCCAATCATGGTACAGGGATCAAGTCGCGCATCGTTACTATCCCAGAGCAACCGAGCGCCTTTCATTCTTTCGTGCTCGGGTAATTGGTACTGAACTAGTCTGAAAGGATGAATGTACCGGCCTATACAACGACTGATACCGCATATTGTTGTATATGCCACGTATGCTTTCAGAGCGCCACTATGTACAATTCTGAATGGTCATCCCATAATAGAGACTGATTTATGCCAAAAGGCTTTATCCTTCATATTACTATGTACTATACTTTGCAATAAGAGCCCTGCAACTGTGAAATGCCTATGTTCAATATTATTCACTCAGACGTCTCTTCTTTTACATTTCTCTGTTTTCGTTCTTTCTTTTTTCAAAGGGGAAGGGGGTAGTGTGCAGAGTTTAAATAATAACACCTTTTTTCAGAAAGACAGAACATCCTGTCTGGGAGTACTTCAAGCGAACAGCTGACGGAAACGCTCAATGTGGCATCTGTACTGGCGTGGTGAAGAGTCCGTGCTCGTCAAACTTCATGCGTCATCTGATGCGACATCATTCTTCTGAATACAATGACGTATACGTTAAATGGGTCCAGAAGAGGGCTCCCAATAAGTAATAGCAAATGATTACTCCGTGCGATTCAGCTATCATCTGCTTGAATTGACCTCACAGGATTCCGTAGCCGTGCCAGTGTCGTGACTATTTTGTGGCCATATACTTGGGGTCGATTTCTCTGTGATCTGTTTAGCAATAAGATCGCACTGATAGAAGGCCAGTCATGGAGCGGAGATGTCACTATTGTACAGCCTACCGATTCCAAGCGATTCTTTGTAAACATTTTTATTTATCAGTATTTATGCATAATTATAACTCAATTCAGTTGCAATGCCATCGTTCTTTCATATTCCAGTGCCGAAATCCAATAAACGGGTAATTTACGCAGTAGATATTATACGAAAATATGTGTTGTTATCGATGTGAAATCACCTACAGAAGATTTATAGTCCGTGAGATCGTTTTCGGTAGCTAGACAATACTTGGGTGGTTCTCGATTGATCCGTGTCTGTGACACATTTGTTCGAAACAACCCAATAAAATAATATCTACTAGTACGATTTCTTACAAGGTTACCACCTACACAGAAATGAAGATTCGTTCTAACGAGGTTTTCCGAGCCATAGTTTATTTCGTTACCAGTCGGGTCGCCCGGTTTTCGCTAGATCCAATTCCTTACTTTTACAAAGTAGTTAGAACTTTATTTAGGGGGAGGGGGGACGCTTTTATTAATCGGTGACCTGTGGGCTTGAGTTCAGAAGAGGGGTGACCGACCTTACCTGAGCTGAGAGTTGGTTCTGGGCGAAAATCTATTTTTTTACCTAGGCCTCAGCGGGTGAAGAGGGAGCGTTGGAGTTGGGGTGAGATGACTACCTCTTGAAAAAAGCTAGGATGGGATATGAGTTAAATATTCAATCGCCCACCCACCTCGGCGCTCATGAGGCTCAGGTCAAAAAACTGTAGTTCTCAGCTGAGAAACGTTCCTGAGCACAATTATGGGCCGATCTCCTTATATACCTCTCTCTAGCGCAATGTAAAAAAAAACTGAGGTGCTTCAACCACATCATCATCTCCGAATACTGTTTAGACGTACATAGCCCAAGGCCAGTACAGATCAAGATCATAGATCTGAAGTATTCACACCACTTCAGATCCCTCGCTTCACTCCGCAGTATTTGCTCTACTCCATAAATGTACCCACCGAGTTACTGCTTTATATATAAGAAAGAAACGTTGAATGAAGCTGTGTTTTCCATATCACTGCCTTTATCGTAATCTTAAGTGTCACGGAGGACAGACGGGCAAACCGACATACCGAGATACCGACATACCGACATACCGGCAAACCGAAATACCAATTTACTGCTTTATAAATAACAGAGATTTCAGCGCTTCTACAACCCGCCTACTTTTGCGTGTCTGTATGTGTGTTTGTGGTTTGTGTCTGAGTGTCCGTTTGCCCGCGCCTGTCGTTGTATCCCGCTTGAGCTTGTGTGTCTTTTATGTGTTTGTCGTTTGCTAGTCTATGTGAGTCTCTGTTTGCAACTTTTCTATATGTCTACGAATGGGTTTGTGTTCGTGTTTGGGTCCTTCTGTTTAGCTATTTCTGTCCCTGTACTTGTGTATGCGTCTAGTTGTATTTGTCTTTGCGTCTGTGTCTCTCTAGGTCTTACTTGACTGTGTTTGCACCTGTATCTGTGCATGTGGGTCTTCGTGTGTGTCTTTCCCTGTGCTTGTGTCTATGTTTGTCTGTGTGTCTATGTCTGTG